TTCGACGCACAGCCTATGGTGCGAAATCGGTACGCGCTATGGCAACGTTTATCTCAAGTTGTAATTAACGCTACCTTCACAGGTTTAGGAATGCTTCTAGGAACAAAGAAAATGGAGTTTTCATGAATTTGACGCAACCACTTTCCAACACACACACGCATATAAAAAGAGCGAGTGAAGGGACGAGCGGTCGCTAACCGATTTCCGTTAAAGTTATACGCGATTCACCGATGTGCCGCACGAAAAATACTAGTTTACAGATGAAGTTTGTTTATCATGACCCACATACGTCACTGGAAGTCAGCATATCACACCCGGTTCATGTCCGGCACCCCTTCACACCCGGTTCATGTCCGGCACCCTTTCAGGCAGTGCCCGGATTGGTCAGGAAATCATACGAGCAACGTCGAATACACCCGGAGGTAATGCAAAAACAAGTCCTCAGATCACCAGATGCCCCGTCAGGCGTCTCAAGGAGTCAGCTCCGTCGCTTACCAAAACAGGCCGGCAAGCACTCGTAGTTTTTTTTTCGTTGTATTGAACGCTGATGCGTGCTGGCATATTCATTTCATCGTTCAGCGGTGAATATATGTATACGATGAGTATACTTGATACGAATCATGCGTTTCTGGTTAACCGCCTGGGTTTGGGGAAGTCTTCAGTGCAGGGCCGTGTATTGGAGGTCCTGAATATCGGCAATGCTCGTGATGTTCGTGCACTGCTCGTGATGTCTGATGTTTGTGGTAAGTAATTAACTCGGGACGATATCGTGAGCTGTCGTGGCTTTGGTTTCACCACAGCTGATGAGCTGTTTTGACGCGGCTCCACTGAGGCCCTACAGACTTCTGCGTCCTATAGTTCCTGCTCTGTCACCCAAGCATGATGGACACCAGCAGGCTGGGGAGACGAGCACTGGCTTATAAGATACAAGAAGGGTGTTGGAAGGGGTTTGGGGTTAGGCAGTCAGCGCCCGCAAGGCTGGTGTTCACCGCAAAGATGGCGCCTATGGCGCTGTTGCTACCGAAACAGTTTCATTTCTGGCGTTAGTGATAACGATTTCCGTAAAGAAGTGTCGCCAGATAGCTTCCACAACAGAATATGTTCTTCGTTGGGTTACAACATCCGCTTATCAAATGGGACAAATTTGTTATAAATATTTTGCTGGTAGCACTAGCCCACCGGCGCCCTCTATATTGGGGACGTAGCGCCCGTGTCGCACTCGCACACGGTACTTGCGGCATAAGGCGCTCCCTCCTCCCGCCTCCCCCCCCCCCCCCCCCCCCCCCAACTTGAAGATGATTGGTATTAAAAAGAGCGTCAGCTACTGAGTCTATTCTGCGCTCTCCTCACATTTTAAATGCACGGCGACTTCAGACTACTACTAAGACGAGCGTATGACGTAGACTCCGACAGCGGTCAAGAATAGCGCCATATCACGTATGTCGATATCCGGATACTCACCAATGAGTGAAGTTAGGGTAACTTTACGTCCAAAGAAATGCTGTCTCTCAGCAACTAGAGGTGCACAGTCTACCAGTGCATGTCTGACAGCGAGGATCTCGCCGCACCTATTGCATGTAGAGGCGTCTGCTGCGTTGTTCAGTCGGAATGAGTGCGTGCCATAGCTGTGGTCAATACGTAAGCGAGTCAATATGACTTCTTCTTTTCTCGACTTACGAAGTGAGGATGACCAGTGCCCTATCCCAGATTTAATTAATTTGAGCGTGTTCTGACTGCTCTCCTGGCCGTACCTTGCCCGCCACTCCGTTGTAACGGAGAGTTTCATTGACGCGCACAGGTCGCTCGCAGGAACTCATACAGCGCCGCTGGGCGTCAGCAGGGTGCCTGCATTCGCAGCCTGGTCAGCCGACTCACTTCCGGCCAGGCCAACGCGACTGCAGATCCAAACCAGCGCTGCCTGCTGGCCCCCTCTGCCGCAGGCTGGAACGTTTACTTACGATCACTGGCGCTAGATATGTGTCTGCCATCTATATGTTTCGGATGCTCGAGACTGAGCTGGCGAGTCAGTAAACACTGCGCACGACGGTAGGTTAAGTCGTAAAATGCGGTTTAAGCAGTTCAGAATGGCGAAAAGTTCCGCAGTAAAAACGGACGCCGATGACGATATCCCAATTCGTTCAGAGCCTCGTGGCGACACGAATGCTCGTCTGGTACCCGGGTCCTCCTTTGATCCATCCTTTTAGAAGTGCGTTGACCGTCTATGCGTTGTGCGCATGAGATTGCGAGATTCATCTCTCAGCCTAGCAGCGTGCATCAGTTCCTTGAAGAACCTGGTGAGTGGTGTGTCACACGTGGGGGTGAGGCTAGCCATGGTCCTGCGAATGAAAGAATGCCAGGCTGTATTTGGTGCATATCTGGTCCAGCGGAGCGAAACAAAATAATTTACACGTACACAGAATGGTCCCGTTTTTCCCAACCTTCCCTGAGAAAAGAAATTCACCAGATCTGCGAAGAAGATCGTGTCGTGCGCTAGGTGCGTGTGAAACTGATATATTCTGACCGCGTACCGCAAAAGCTAAATGCGGTGCCTCAGGTCCAGGGCGTCTGCTAGCAGGCTTGTCACCAGTTGACGGTAAATGCGGTGCCTCAGGTCCAGGGCGTCTGCTAGCAGGCTTGTCACCAGTTGACGGTAAATGCGGTGCCTCAGGTCCAGGGCGTCTGCTAGCAGGCTTGTCACCAGTTGACGGTAAATGCGGTGCCTCAGGTCCAGGGCGTCTGCTAGCAGGCTTGTCACCAGTTGACGCCCATTCCATCATGAATAAATCATTTTCTCATCCTAACCTCGGCATGGATCATCGTAAGCTTCCCGCTCAGCACCTATGTTTCGTGCAGCTCGTGGCATAGCACTGTGTGTCGGAAGCTGGGCTGGGATCTTGATTTATTATTTTGACGCGGTTTTAGTAGGAGTGACTACACAATGTCTATTCACAACACTTTCTGCAGCCATGTGTCCTAGTCTATTAATCCAATTGTTTTGTTCATTCGTGTTCACACCTGTTTATTCGTGAGGACGCGCATTGAGCAGAGCTTGAAGCGTCGATATGCGTCGATATAGAGCTAATGCTCTCTTGTGAATGCTATTTAACCAGCACCTCTTGGCATGTTGAAAGCCAATTGCTGTTACAATTCAAACTCCTAACATATCACATAATTTTGCTCGACATGACCATCTGGTAAATGATCATGACCATCTGGACTCTAAATAAAGTTGGGGCATTTCGTTTGCAACTAACGAGTTCTACCCAATGGGGATCAACGCAGCTGCAGCGCACACCAATAATTGTTCGCTGCAATAATTTGCCGGTCGCAATGCGCAACTGCTGGTACCATTTGCTTCAAATTGGTCATCACTTTTTAAGAGTAACGACCTGTCCCAACCACGTAGCATATGTGTGGCTGGCTGCCTTGTATAGCTAACTTCAAGAAGACGGTGCTTAAGTCTGCCAACATAAGCAGTTGACGACCATTACTCATAAGGAAGAGACGTGAGAATAGACTGCATATTTGTCGTGCGGCTCTCTCGCACTGCGACCCTAGACTGGTGCCTGCTGAATTAAGACCGGCTCCGAAAAACGTGGTAAAAAGGAAGTAGAGGGGTCTGTTTGTATTAAACTCTCTTGTGTTCACTGTGACGGGACCGTAGCGTGATGTCGGTGATGCAGCTGCGTATCTATCAGCTGTCCTTGAACCAAATCGTAGCAACTACCTCAGAAGCGGGCGTATGGGGAGCTGGGACAAGCCACTCCCAGGAGGAAAGGCAATCACCACGTGCTGGCAACTGCCCAACTGACTAGACACAACGCGCATTCTTTCGTTATGCAGTCGGCTGCTTTCTGCCGATGATGATGCTGATTTGGGCTTTGAGGAGCACCGACTACAATGGTCATATGACGCCGATAGTTTGTTTTTGAATTAACAAATGTGTGAAAAAGCAAGGAGACGGGGCCATGTCTGAAATATGGCATGAAGTTTCGTGTTTTCAAGAAAGTTTAACATATGACCACCATCTACTTAACTCGAGTCGTCTCCCAAGATACCATAGAGCGTTTGGCGCATGGACGCAGATCCAAAATGGCGCATGCGTCCCGAAGCGAGGTGGGCACAATCTATCAAGACATGCCGTACGGTGTAACGATCCCCACAGCGAGGACATCGCGTTTGGTCCTCCCTTACAAATTTTGGCGAGTTGCGCATGCATGCCCTATTCTCAAGAGGCAGTGTCACTTCATCCCGCCTCACCTCACGACAGCTGGACGTCCGTGGTCTCAACAAGGGCTTTATCCCTCTGTTTGTTGGCAGTATGCGCATCTCAATGCGCTTGCCACTGCTTGTACATGAATGCAGATACTACCACATGTGGGTCTTTGGCAAGGGCTGTCATAGTGGTGATGCGAGCTGCGTGTGTGGCACGCCTTGCTGCGGCATCAGCTACTTCATCACCTGATATGCCAACGTGGCTCGGCATCCAGCAGAATACTACCTGCTTCCAGGATCAGGACAGTGTAGTAAGAAGAGTTAACATGTTCTTAACGATGGGATGGCATAAATCAAAATCCTGCACTGTCATAGGGCTACTAATAGCTTTATGACACTATTGGACTAGGAGCCCTATTGGACTAAGAGAGTCCAATAAAATTAAGTGTTGATCGTCACTGTCAACTTCTATGAAGTGAAGTGCTCTAAAAATGGCTGCTAGCTTGGATGTGCGGACCGATGCGTGACTAGGCGCAGCATCAGACCGTAGACAGGACCGTGCACAAGAGCGCATCCAACACCGGCATCCACTTTCGATCCGTCCGTGTATGCCTCCTTGTGATCCGGGTGTGATGCGATCAACTCCCGTAATGTTGACCGGAGCGTGCCGCTTTGGTGCCGGCGCTCACGGCGCCGCGAGCATGAAAGGAAGGACTGGCTCCGACGCCAGCCAGACAACGTCGAGACGACTCTGACGTCTTGTGGCGTGCGTGGAATGCCTGCAGGCGACCATATCCAGATCCGGGCGGGCGTGCACTCCGGAACGGTGGTGGCCGGCGTGGTAGGGCTGAAGATGCCCCGCTACTGCCTCTTCGGCGACACCGTCAACACAGGTGAGGGTGGCACGAAGGATACACGTCAGGTCAACACCCGGCGCGGGGCAGCGAAATCAACTTTGTTCAACCTCTGTGTCTTGGCACATATGGGCCGCTATACTTGACCACAGGATGCGGGAAGATGGATAAAGGGGAAGCGCTGATGAGTTGAAGAGTTGAAGAAGTTAATGAGTTTGAGCGTCATGACACCACTTCGCATTGTAAGCTCGCTGATTACGACTTTGATGTTCACAGCCTCTGCCTGTCCTGTTATCTTGTAGCGGCCCACCGAGCTTACGCCATCTGGCAGGCTGTTCGCTCACTGTATTAAGTTCGCCTCGACCGTGATCACTTCTCCTCAGCGTGCATACGTGTGTTTCAGCGTCTCGAATGGAGTCCAACAGTCAGGCGATGCACATCCATGTCTCGGAGCCGACCATGCAGCGGCTCGGCTCCGCGTACCGCACCGTCGAGCGTGGCGGCATACACGTGAAGGGCAAAGGTCAGCGGGGGAGAGGGGGGGGGGGGGGCTGGGCAGACGCGTCACGGCTCGGAAGACCGGCACGCGAGGCAAGAACGAGATCGAAGCAGGGCGGAGATAGAGGAGCATGTTTTGTTCGTCTAACTGTGGAGCCAGTGTTTGGCCTCGAGGGAAAGGCGGAGGGCGGTAAGTTTGTGATGCGCATGATCAAGAGAACTACGCCGAAAATACTGGACACATTCGACAAAGGCTAACAATGCGAAGCTTTTTCAGAAGCATATGTGAATACGGCACTCAGCCTTAACAGCGTACCGCGTCGTCCACAACACCTGTTAGGTGTGCCTCTAGAGGAGCAGCAGCACCCAAAAGCGCCTCCACAAACGCCTGTCAAGCAGGTCTCGAGAGGAGCAATAACACCCAAAAGTTCGCGACACTAATGCCCTTGCCTTTGCTGCGAGCGATACTTTTAAAGAGAGAGAGATTGTCCTCCCCGTTTACAAGAACTCATCGTCCTTCCTGCCGACAGGCACCATGAAGACCTACTGGCTTGAGTCCAAGTCGGGCCGACGGCCGGTCGGGGATAAGATCCAGATGGAGGGGGCGCTGCAGACGGACAACGCCAGCTCGCGGTCCTCCTCGGGCCGGGGCAGCTACACGCCCGTCAGCCAGGTGTTGCGCCAGGGACGGCCAAGCTCTACCGTCAGTAGCGCCACCAGCATCCGAGGTAGGCCGGCAGCCGGGGTGGGGGGTCAGGGGGGCAGGCAGAACAGCATCTGAGGTGGGCCGGTGGCTGGGGTGGGGGTCAGGGGAGCAGTCAAACCAACATCCGAGGGGGGGGGGGGCGACAGCTCGGGTGGGGTCGGGGGAGCAGTCAAACCAGCATCCGAGGTAGGCCGGCGGCTGGGGTGGCGGTCAGGGGAGCAGGCAGACCAGCATCCGAGGTAGGCCGGTGGCTGGGGTGGGGGTCAGGGGAGCAGTCAAACCTACATCCGAGGGGGGGGGGCGACAGCTTGGGTGGGGTCGGGGGAGCAGTCAAACCAACATCCGACGTAAGCCGACGGCTGGGGTGGCGGTCAGAGGAGCAGGCAGACCAGCATCCGAGGTAGGCCGGCGGCTGGGGTGGTGTTCAGGGGAGCAGGGAGACCAGCATCTGACGTAAGCCGGCAGCTGGGGTGGGGGTCAGAGGAGCAGGGAGACCAACATCCGAGGTAGGCCGGCAGCTGGGCTGGGGGTCAGGGGAGCAGGGAGACCAACATCCGAGGTAAGCCGGCGGCTGGGATGGGGGTCAGGGGAGCAGGCAGACCAGCATCCGAGGTAGGTCGATGGCCGGGTCGGTGGTCAGTGGAGCAGGCAGATGACAGTGGGTTGTCAGGGGCGCAGGGGACGGATGGAGGCTTTTGGCAGTAAAGGCGGCAGTGGAAAATAGGTAACACAGATAGGGGCTCACTTCAAGGAGCGGAAAGAATACGGAAGAGGAGCAGACATACAGGAATTCATTAAGAGTCACGAAGGGATGAGAGTAGACAGACAGGGACGTATAAGCAAGAACGAAAAGAGGAGCAGACAGAGTAGCGATAATAGAAACGGAGAGTGGGGCATAGGTGCTTATTTATATGCATATATATATATATATATATATATATATATATATATATATATATATATATATATATATATACATATGTATACAGGTTAACACGCACAGCGGAAACGCACATTCTGAGGTTAATTAGCAGGAACGGAAAGAAACGGAGGGCGAGAGCGTGATCTGGTGAGGGGCGTGTCACTCCAGATGTGTACATGTCTGTTAGTCTCCAAAGGGTCTCCTACCCCGCTGCTGGCGATCATGGCCGCCGTGTACTGCAATGCCCTCTCCCTCCACTTTTGCCATTTATGGACTGGGCCGTGGCAGGTGACAAGTAGCCTTTTTAGATAATGATTACGAAGCAGAAGCACAACACAAAATGCAACAAAGCGTGTTTCTTCTTCATGCCCCATATGACGACCCACCGTGCTGTCATTCCTGGAGACGCCTGTGTCCGAACGTTTATGTCCAATGTTTAGCATGTGCATGCATTTTTGAAACTTAATTTTCATTGTAGAGCTGACATGATAGTGCTGACATAGCTCGTGTCACTACTCGCTTAAGATACACACTTTCATAGGTCATGTAACTATGGACAGAAGACACGTAGCTTTGCATTTAGATATCGAGGGAACCCTCTCTACGACCAGCAATGGTGAACCGTTATGCTCTTCACGATGCTCGGGAAACCGTTTTTCGAACTCTGCAACCGCTTTTGCCATGTTACTTTTGCTACGTTGCAATAACGGTACTCGTGATGCAACTGTTTTGTTTGCTGGAAGCGGCAGTAACTCCTGTAAACGGCGGTAACTTCTGTAAAAGCAAGACGACGCACATAAGCTCGTCCTCCTGGGGAGCATCGTTTCATCGTTGTCGCTAAATTTCACTGGGGGTCCATCTAAGACCGGATTCTGGAGCCGTCATCGCCATGCCACGCACCCAAGATTTGGACACAGCACGTGCAAAGTTAGAGATGCTGGGGAAAAAACGTGGCATTTAAAAGATACGCTACAAACTATTTCGGAAAAAAAACTGGGAATATTTCCGACGTTGCGGGATGCTCCCACTTGAACAATAGAGGGAGAGGAGGGGGGGGGGCTTATCATGGCGTGGCGACGGCTTCACGCAGGGAGAAGCACGAGACCTGGGCGCTGCGTGTATGCGGTCTATGGCGGCAATGTAGGCGTAGGTTATCACCTGCTGTCCTGTAACGTTCACCGACTTGGGTCGAATCTAATATCGAGAGCGCGTGCCGAAGTGCGTGGCATCGCTCCCAGGCAGGTCACAGCCTATTCATTGACGCGCGGCCATGCGGCGGCGTTTCCTGGGTTAAACGCGAGCGGCAGATGGGTCTCAATGGCGCGTGTTGCAACCGCAGAGCGCTGACACACCGGAAAACCCCGGCACCAGCTTCAGATCTCCTGTCATGGGACACCTGTCATGATCAGTGTGCGTGCCACGTAAAGCCCAGACCGACTTCTCACTGACATTGGAAACGTTGTAAATCTGAAGTTTGCTTATCACCTCTAGGAACTGCAGAATTATGGACGCTTAGCCTGGTCCTCCCGTGGTTGACATATTGGCACGACCACCACCGGTGTCCATTGGCAAACCTCCGGCGCGCTCCCTGTCTCCCATTCACTGACTTAGACCTGCCATCGCCTGGTGTTGAGCTGGCTGACCTATTGTCTCTTAGTCTTTCAGTGGCTGGCCTGCCATTGCCGCGTGCCGCAATGGCTGATCTGGCTGTGCCTGTGGCTGGTCTAGCTGTGGCTGTGACTGTTCTTGATGTGGCTGTGGCTGGCCTGGATGTGGCTAGTCAGGCCGTGGCTGCTCTGGTCGTGGCTGGCTGTTGCTGGTCGGACTATGACTGTGGCTGGGCTGGCTGTGGCGGATCTGGCCTGGATTGGCTATGGCTGGTCGGGCTGTGGCTGATCGGGCTGTGGCCGTGGCTAGTCTGCCTGTGGCTGTGGCTGATCTGGCTAGTCTGACATTGCCTGGTGTTCTAGCGGCTGACCTCCAGACACCGCAGCCCGTTGCTGGGGTTGGCGAAGTGGCCAGCGTCGCTGACCTGACATCGCGTCCGGTGTTGCAGTGGCCGACCTGGTGACGTTCGACGAGTCCCGCGTGAGCGACATCAAGCGGCAGCGGAGCCGCACGCCGCTGAGCGAGTACTACGGCCGCACCTCTCGCGCGCACTCCATCTCCTCTACCAGCCAGCTGGAGACGCGCTCGCCGCCGCCCACCTGCACTCACTCGATGAACGAGCTGAGCCGCAGCAGCTCGCCCGCCGCCGCCACCGCCGGCGACGCCATTAACCTGCCGGTCCGAGTTGCGTCGGTCCGCACCGGTGCCGCCAACTTCGACCTAGCGCTGGCCAAGCCCGGCTGTCAGTACATCAAAAAGGTGGAGACGGGCGCGGTCGCTTCGAGCGGCTGCTGTCGGCCACAGGCCGCCCGGGCGCGCAGCTCGGTCTGCGCGCTCTTCTAGCCGCGACCGGCGTCGCAGGGGAGCCACAGGCGGGGCAAGACTCGGAGGAGCGCCGAGACGCGGCAACCGGTGGGCGCGGGCCGCAAGACCCGCTCTGCAGAGGCAGGTGGGCTGAGGCGGCGCACGAGCGGTGGTCAGGGTCTTGACGCAGCTCGTGGGAGCTGCTAGGGGTGCCATGGCCGTTGAAGTCGTTGGGCTGATGCTATGGAAGCTTGTCCGCGGTCGGCGCGGACGAAAGCACCTGAGAAACGGGCCGTCGGTCACGCCGTTCTGTCAACAGCGTAGCGAGCGGCGGCAGATGTCTCGAGGTTCCGCTGACGTCAGTCCTGTCTTCAGTCGTTCAGCGCCGCACCGGGGATTCGCTCATTGAGCGAGCTCGTCACTCGTCCGCCGCCGAATCAGATGAGTTCACTGGTTCGCACCGATCAACGATTTCTTCGGCCAGGGCGACATGGCTGACGCCTCCGCTGCGGTGCGGACACCTGAAGACACTGGCTGCGATGTGGCAGACTTGCGTTGCCGCCGGCCGGACTGGTTTGGGACAAGGTTCGGCGCCTGCCTGGGAGTCACGCGACGCTGAACCTGTGTGTGCTGCTGTATCTCGAGCGTCGCTGCCTCGTGTGTCCCAAGCGCAACCCGATGGTGACGCGGCGTCGAGGGACGTGGAGCCAGTGGGGAGGGGCATGGCTGTAGTTTGGGATGGTTGCGACGAGGACTGCACTTCATTTCCGCGCTCCGCCAAACTTGGAGTCTGGCGTAGCGTCGCGCACCGCAGAAAGGGAGGGATGCGATCTTTCCGCTGGTAGTCGATATAGGCGAGGTGAGCTTGATGAGAGTTGCTGTGATCCGCCGCCAGAAATGTTGTTGTCTGGCGGTTGCTGGTTTCAGAGGAATAGTTATCATACGTACAAGGTGAGATCTGTCGTAATATCCGTGAAGTCATGAAGAATGATATATATTGTTAAGCGTACCGCTGAGGGTCTTTTCGGTTCGTGAAAGGAACTATCGCATGTCTCACATCGATCTGAGCGGGGACAGAACATCATGCGCTGGCTCAAATCTAGTCCATGGCACTTATGTATCCGTCAGCAATATTCCCAGAGCCGAGCTAGCGGGGATGACGTGCGAGTTGGGCTGCAGGGCACATTGCGCCGTAATTGAAGTCGACTAAAATGGTACTGGGCCCCCTGAACTGAAATCCGTTCTATATTCTGACAGCCCGAGTCAGCCCCATGTGCTCTTCACCGGGGCAGATTGCGCTGAATTGTTAAGCGCAAGCCTGTTGAATGCACATTGTAATAACGAATGGTTGAGTTGGGCATCCGTCAGCAGTCTCTCAGTCAAAAGCAATCCACATTTGCGACAAGGTGTTTTTATTCTACCAGCAGATCACGACACCAGTCACAGTGCACCGCTCTCCCGCAGTGCTGAACATCAATGTCGGGAGTCAGCCTAGTTTACCCGAGTCTGGACAAGGCTCACATGTAAGACATCAACTCTTACACATCTACCAGCGCTTTGCTGAACAAATTACCTCCTCTCCCCCAAATTGAGGAGTGGCCGACCTCTCCGGTGTACCTGCTGACGTGCCAATGCTGATCGCCCGCTGCACTCAGCCCGGCGGCAGTTGACTCGGTTGTCACACGATGATGTGCACACATGGGGATCGGCGGGCAGCACGGGCGCCAGTGCTGCACGCGCGCCGCCGCCACTGGCGTGCGTTCCGACTTACATCACAATGAACAAACGACAGGGCACAAAGTACACTGTAGATGTTGGCGCAACCGTACTTGCGTCGGGTTCACAGCACGAGACCGGCCACAGCCGGCCAATCGTAATGTACGTACGCTGATCCGTCCGCCCCCAGTTGGGTTCGCAAGGGCCACCGATGTCGGCAGCATCTTCCCCACTCCCAGGGCCACAGATGGCGCTGCCCGCCGTTTGGTGTGCAGCCGCACCAGCGCCAAACACGGCAGTCACGTGTGCTCAGTGTTCTACTGTCACCGTCATGATAGTGGTCATGCCACTTTTGAAGGCGATCTTCGAAGTTTTAGCTCCATCGCATCGAATTTGAGATCACCCACAGTGGAATCACCCGCAATTTCGAGAAGTCTGGTAAAAACGGCACCGCCAACAACCATTCTCCTCACAGACTGCTATGCAAACTTTTCACTTGACCTGGACAAACACTCCCGTCGGATGGTGCGCACGCCCCGGCTGCTGCCGAGGGACCGGTGCGACCCGGAGCCCTGCCAGCCAGCTCACTACGCAGCTGTCCGGCCCATGGCAGCCACCTTCCGGCGACGCCCAAACATTGCAGAAGCCCTGCCAGCCAGCTCACTACGCAGCTGTCCGGCCCATGGCAGCCCCTCCCGGTGAAGCCAAAGGATTGCATTACGGTCTAGTCGCTGCACGATTCGGGCAGTACGTTTTGAAGAGTCGCGGCGGGCTCCGCTCTAGTTCGCCCTCAAAAGTTCATGCGATCAGAACAAAACCTCAAAAGATCATCCCTCCGGCCCACCCCACAAAAAAGGATACAGAGCACGTGGTTTCGCGCCGCCAACAGCCAACTGGACCTTCTAAATACAACGCACTTCCGGTAGAACATTCCGGACCGCTTGACCGGCGGTATACTTCTTACGCCATGGCGCCCGTGGCGCCATCTTTTGCTCAACATCACAGCTCCACTGTTGAGCACACTCCGCAACCCGTGACGACCACGCCGAGCGCGCAGACCACACACGTTGCTTACGCGACGCACACAGCCGCCACTTCGTCCACCACGGCTTCCCAGCAGACAGCGCCGAGTCCGCCTGACCCGAGCGAGGAGGCTGAGTCGCCGCTGGGATGGGGGAGGGGGGCTTGACGGGGCCCTCGACGGTCGCGGCGCGGTCTGACGGAGCGCCGACCGATCCTGCAGCCGACGGCAGCGCTGGACACTGACGGTGGCGCGGCAGCTTCATGGCAGCTGCGCTCCCCAGCAGGCCGCAGGCAGTGTGGCGCTCACGGCTGATGCGGCTGTCAGCTGCCGGCAGGTGCAGACGACGTCATCTACACCACAGAACGGCAGTCAACAGTTGCGACAGTGACACCGGCAACGCCAAGGGAGATCAAGCTCATCAACAGGCACTGAACGTTAGGGTGGTGTATGCGGCACTGTGCCATACGTGGCAGCTACAAGGCTCCGAGCAGTTTTCGTTGGCATGTGAGTTGCAGTCCTCGCGGCAGCGTACGATTGCAGAGCGACGGATGGGCCACTTCAACCCTGGCTAGCAACCGGACCTGGAACACACGGAGCCAGAGTCGGCCACTTCATCCCTGGTTTGCAACCGGACCTTGAACACACGGAGCCAGAGTCAACAGTGCCCAACATATTTCAAAAGAGCAAGCAAAAAATGGAGCCTCGGGACTGTTGGGGTGTGTTTTCGCTACACGATTGGCCGCACGAAAATGTTTGTGATCGAGGTTTATATGCCCGCGCCGTCCGAGTTGGGACCGGAAGAACCACAGTTCCATCCGGTTCAAGCCCGGCGCCCCGGTCCTCGTCTTCCGCAATCTTGACACACCCAGCATGATCAACGGCACGCTTTGCGTGACAGTCGCTTCGTCCGGAAACGTCCTGGAGTTCAAATCATCGCCGGTCCAGGCCGCCGTCAGGTCATCATTGTACCACGCATTCCAATAGGGTCTTCGCCTTACTCTGACCTGGGGATGTTCATCGCGACGCTTGCAGTTCCCAGTGGGCGTGGTGTTCGACATGACAATCAACAGGAGCCACAGACAGACGGGTGTTTTTAGACTGAGAGAACGCCATGACAGGTGGTCTTTAGATTGAGAGAATGCCATGGCAGGTGGTTTTTAGATTGAGAGAATGCCACGGCAGGTGGTTTTCAGATTGAGAAAATGTCATGACAGGTGGTCTTTATTTCGGCACCGAGGCTCTCCATCCACAGTGGAGCCCAACTGGGGGACGGCCAAACACTCCCTCGGGGGGTGGTCACCGCCAGGGCTAGCCCGGCGTTATACGGGCCTAAAGACACCTCCCATACGGCCAGGTGTAACCGGGGAGACCCCTCCCCGTTCTGGCCGTGGTTCAGCGCCGCCGCCCCTCGACCCTTTAAACCCCCGCGCGCTCCCGGACGCCCAAACGGAGGCACGAGGTGAACACTCGGCACGTGCGCCGATCCCAAGCCGCTAGACCCGTATGGGTACCCGCCTGTGCCACCTAGAAACTTGGAAACTTATTGGGACAAATGAAGCGAGTGGTGCGGCGAGACTCGAAACCCCCTGAAACAAACTCTGATGAGACTGAGTGAAATGGGATCTGGTGCGGCATCAGTTTCGCGAGGGAGCCTCTCAGTTCATAAGAAACGGCCCAAACAATGCGTATGTGTTGGAAAACAAAGCATGTTGTGAGGTACTGAACGCTCTGCGGGAAACAGCACTCGTTTTGAATGCCTGTTATTCTCAAACGTTACGCGGCTCCTCATGTCACCACGCAGCTCCCGCCTCCTCAGATATCTCAAAAAGGCCTCCAGGCCCTTCTGCGACGGTGTCATCGCAAGTGGCCGAGGTGGATTGCGTACCGTGGCACGTATAGGACCTGCGGCCTCAGTACAGCGATGCACCGCGATGTGACGCCAGTGACAAGGAGGACGACGAACCCCTATACCTGGCCGCGGGCCCGTCACACCAGGAGGCCTCTGGCGCAGTCGCTGACAACCCGGACAACGCGGAACACGCACCGACGGCGACTGGGACAGAACCGGCGGGCATTCTGGCCTGTCCTGAGCAGCCGGCGGAAGAAGCCGCGACGATGCTGCTGCGACGCAGCCAGCGTGTGCGCCGGCAACCCGGCCAACTTCATGGACAGTGTGTCGAGTGATTGAATAGCATGAACGTTGGTGTGAGTGTATGATCTTTGAAGATCAGGGGTGGGTGTAGCGGTGGACCATGCCCCGGAACAGTGTGTCAGCATGTAAGACGAGTGGGACGATGAC